TTCTTCATAATCAATACTCCCTTTCACCGATATTTGACCAGTATAAGGATCGATACTTAAAATATCAAAATTTACATTTTGGTGCTCAACCATGGAGTAAATTATTTGCCCATTTAATCCTTCATCTGGATCGGTCGCTTTCAGTGTTATTATGGGTGTACCATATTGAACATTCTCATTTAGTTTAACCTTATACAACGGCTTGCTAAACGCTGGGGTGTTGTCGTTCACATCCATCACGTTCACGGTGATCTGCAGGGTTCCCGACCTGGGAGGCTTTCCGCCGTCAACAGCAGTAACTACTAGCGGTATTACGGCCTGTTTCTCTCGGTCCAGTGCTTTCAGTAGCATTAAGACAGCAGACACTCTGCGATCTCCTCCGCTCTGTACATCCAAACTAAAATGCTCATTCTGGCTTATCGTGTATGTTTTCACCGAGTTACTGCCCACATCGGGATCTTCTGCCATAACAACTGTGATTTTTTCCCCTGGGTTAGCAATTTCTGATATATTTAACTCGATCTTATTCCGTGGAAAATATGGTGCGTTGTCATTTACGTCTAAGACATTAATTTCTACACGATAAAGGTTTAGAGGATTGTGAATAATGGCTTCTAAAAATAAACTACATTTCTGAGCGCCAGGACACAGTTCCTCTCCATCGACTCTCTCACTCACAAACAATGCGCCACTTTTCAAATTTACCTCAAAATATCTTCTGCTGGAACCCGACACAATCTGAAACATCCGCGACTCCAGTTCATTGATATTAAGACCCAGATCCTTCGCTATATTTCCAACCACGGTTCCCTTCTCCACCTCCTCTGACACGGAGTACACAACCTGTCCATCGGATGAATCCCATAAACAAAGGAGTGTTAGCAACCATATCCAGTCACATTTCACACGAACAAAATCCTCCATCGCTATGTTCTTCACATCCGATCCTTTGAGGTGAGAGCAGCCAACATATTACAGTGTACAGAGATATAGGCCTATAGATAAATTGATAAATCGGCGGCCGCATACGAGGCCTGTAGTATTTCTCTAACACGTTACTGTACAGCTTATCTTTCCAGCAAAGAGCATTCCGTTCTGCATCCTATTGAAGGTGGGGCTCAAATAGGAGACGTATTAGTTTTTAAACTCGCGGTCAACAGCGACACCGTGTGTTTTCCCTGATTAACTGGTTTAAGCTCAGGCTGGTTATCCATCCATCCATCCATCCATCCATTCATCCATCCCTCTTCTAAATTTTTATTTCAATACGAATAGCAGAAATTGGAATTCTTATAATCGGAATGAAAACATAAAATGTATTTTTTTGTTAATACAGAGCACCAGTTTTTTATATTGCAGGATAACATTATACTTATTAAGCGCACATTGCCTATTGAAAAAACCATTATCGCCAACTGTTATATTTATGTTGTCTTTTTACTATTGATGCAAATATAAAAATTTATAGTAATATTTGCAAATCAGGCATCGCTGCAGTAATTCTAACTTCCAGGTAGCTACATTAGAAATGTGACAATTTGCTCTGCCTTGCTGTCCTGTTTCAAAGCAAAAAATTCAAACCATTGTTCTTCTGCTGGCTCCGTGAAACCGTCCTTTTAATAAAACGTCTTCAGTAATTGCACACAAATGCCGTCTTCAAAATAATTTAAACCTAATGTCCAAAACTTGAAACGTATAATTTCATTGACGATCAATAACATGCCATGAAAACCATTTTTATTCCTACCAAAAGAAAATGATTAACATATTCAATTAAGGGCCATTGTCAATGAAAAGTTGGGCGTTCAGATTTGAAGCATCGTCTCAGTTAAAACGGCTCATAGCGGACAATTCACAAAGGAACACTACTGAAGAACAAATATATTTTGGCAAGAAGGTTCCCTCTGATTACACTTTTCTGATGAGAACAGACCCTGACAAGTTCGGAGAATAAGCTGCATAAATAAGATATTCCTGACTGTTAATGGTGTATTGGGTTGAGAATCCATAGCCTAGCTAAAAACATAGCGCAGTTTGCCACAAATTGCAGTAATAGTACTTTTTTTTCTACTTTTAATCCTATATAAACGACGGTTCTGCTTTTGTCTGATGCAACAGACGAGACTACAACAAAGCAATAAACTAATACTAATTAAATTAATCCCTTCCAAGATTATTCACGGGCAGAATAAACGAAATTAATTTCTACGCATTCAGATGTTGATATCATGTTTCAAGAAACTGACAATTGACGAGTAAATTTCCAAATCACAATCCATTTTTGTTGTTTCTGAGACAGATCGACATGTCGGCAACCACTCTGTTAGAAAGGCTGCCATGGGGATGTAGTTATTAACTTAATTATCCCACCCGGTCAATGTTGATTGGCACAACAGTAGCGAAATGTTAATGCGCCTGCACCTAGTTCATTTACCTGATGTTGTGCGTCAATAGATATAATGTGAGTACTGTAATTCTAATTTCTGTCGTTACTTCGCGATTCTGCTTATGTTGTTTGTAAGACCGCAACTGCCTTATATTTTCATTGCACAGCGCCACGCTCATATACCCTTTCGGGGCTGTATGGTAGCGCGTCCGCTATGTAGATATGCTAACGTAATGATCGCCGGTAATGTATGTGTCACTCTTAACGGTTTACTTTAGGGTTGATTGGATATGTAATTACAGAAATCATGGAGCTACGAATCTATTCTGTATGTTTAGATCATTAGTTACCAGTTATTTGAGTAAACATTTGACCCTGTAGGTTTGTTAATGCAGTAAGATAGATTTCTGTTTGAGCTTCAGTTCTGCTATATTTAAAACGTGTAAGCCACTTTTTAACTACACACCACCTATGTGATTGAATGAATTGGTTTTTTTTTCACAGACCACATCCATCTACATACCAAGTTTATTACTACTATTCGCTTCTATAACCCATCGTACTTCCTGACACACAAGTTCCATTTAATAAATTCTGCCTTAAAGATTCTTTGACCAGAATCTTGTCCATACTGACCGCCGTTGCCAGCGTTAAACTTCCACGTCTGTGTAGCGATGCTACCCTACCCGACACACTGTGTTATAGGATTGGAAAAAAACTCACCCCTTCATCGTGCAATACAACGAAAGAACTTCAGTTAAATTTTCAAAATAAGCCCGCAGCAATTTACTGGAAATGCATCCCCTGAATTGAGTTTTGGAAATTTGTCCTTTAACTATTGGGATCGAAATAATAAACACATTTATAGAAGAGAAAGATTAGAATGTATACTTTCCAAGACAATCTTAGATAATCTCCAGGCTTACCTTCTCCCGGGTCGGCAGTGTTTGGTTCCGTTTCAAAGTTTCAGTCCCATTAA